TGCTGTTTGACTTTATTGCACAAGTTTTAAGATCTGTTTTCTAAATAGTTTGTATTTTCTAAGTAGTTTTATTCCATCTTTTGTTCACATTGCTCTTACTATTAAAACTTTTTGTTGTGAGATATGTCATGTGTTGAAAATATGTAAAACATAAGCTTCATGTAACACGTAGCTAGAGTGACTACTTGGGAACCTAGCCAGCACCCAGGTGAAGAGAACGCACATTGCTAGCACTACAGAAACCATCTGCCGGGTGCTTCCAGATCGCTGTTCTCTGTACACTCATCTTTCCTTATTTTTCTCTAGTGTTATCACTCGTGTGCATCCTTGAACAATATAATTTAGTGTCGCTTATTTTTTCAGCTTTTGAAAATTATATTCTATGTATTTTTCATACCTTTGTTGTGTTCAACATTGTGTGTGAAATTTGTTCCTATTGTGTGTAGCTATAGTTCTTTTGCATTGCTGTATTTACTCCATTATTGAATACACCATACTGTTTATCCCCTTGACTATTTGCAGACATCTGTGTTGTTTCCAGTGTCGTTAGGAACAGCGAATGCTGCTGTGATGATTCTTGTATGTATTTCATGGTACCCCTGTGCCAGCATTTCTCTGGGCCACATAGGAGTTGGATGACTGGGGCATGAGGATCAATTTCTTCTTTTACCCAATAATCTAGAAAAAATAACTTTTTAAAAAGCATTTTCACATGGTCTTTGAGTTATTTTTAGTACATCAATGTGGTCAGAGAATATGGCCTGTGACCTGTGAGCAATCGTTTAGACTTCACTGTTGGTGTTACTGTTGTCTTTGCTCATTGCTATTTCTTGTACTATGTCTCCTGCTCCCTGTCCTTCAAGTATAGCCCTGAATGATATCCACATTGGTGTGGAGAATCCAGAGGCGAACATACACAGAGATGCTTCCTGTCTTGATGGAGCTAGATATAGAATTTTAAGTTTATAATTGAGTCTCTTCCCAGTTCTTTACACTTTTATCTTCTGATATTTTATTGTTACAAGTGAAGAGTCTGATGCCTATCTGATTCTTACTTCTTTCTGGTAGTTAGTATGATTTTCTCTGTAATTGTAATGTGTGGGGTTTTACTTTTCAGTATTTGTTTTTTGAGATAGGGTCTTGCCCTGTTGCCCGGTTGCAGTGCAGTGGTGCGATCACGGCTGACTGCAGCCTTTACCTTCTGGGCACAAGCAGTCCTCCCACCTCAGTCTCCTGAGTAGTTGAGACTACAGGTGAGCACCACCATGCATGGTTAATTTTTAAAAAATTTTTGTAGATATGGGTTTTTACCGTGCCCAAACTAGCCTTGAACTCCTGGGCTCAAGTGATCCTCCTACCTTGACCTCCTGAGGTGTTGGTATTATAGGCATGAACCACCGTGTCTGGCTTTCAGTATTCCTTTGGGGCATTCAGAGCCACTTAATATTCTCAAGTTTTTCTTTGGCTCAACAGCGTTTGTCTCTTTTCTTTCTTTTTATTCCCTTCCATCCTGTGGATGAATGTTAGATCTCTTTATCTTCCGTGTCCCTTAACTATTCCCTTTCTTTTTTCCCCCTCCATTTCCTTTTTTTCTCTGTTCTAAGGGAATGTCACAGTTTGATTTTCCTAATCATAAATGCCTTGTTGAGAAGTCTGTTGTGCTCTGGCCCTCCTACGGGTGTTTTTTGTTTTTGTTTTTGTTTTTTCAGGGGGAGGGTATCTTATTTTTATTACTAGAATTGTCTTTTACATAGTAACCTGTTTTTTGTTTTGTGGATACGGTATCTTCTCAATTACTGCTAAAGATTCCAATTAGGTTTTTAAATTCTGATTATTTCCTTCATTGGTAGTGCTTCAGGTCATTTGTGCTTATTTGACTTGGCACCTTCCTTTCAGATTGCTAGTTTTCTTCAACTCTCTGTGGTGCATGGTTATCTGTTCATTTATACATGAGATATACCATTGATCAGTATTAGTTGTTGATATGAATGTTGCATTAGAGTTATCTAAAGGGACAGAACTAAAGTGTATATATATATACACACACACACACATATTTATATTAAGGAGTATTATACTCACACAATCACAAGATCGCACAATAGGCCATCTGCAATCTGAAAAGCAAGAAAGCCAGTCCTAGTTTCAAAGGTGAAGAACTTGAAGCCTGATATTCGAGGGCAGAAAGCATCCAGCACAGGAGAAAGATGTAGGCTGGAAAGCTGAGCCAGTCTAGATGTTTCATGTTTTTCTGCCTGCTTTACATCCTAGCCTTTCTGGCAGCTGATTAGATGGTGCCCACCCAGATTAAGAGTGGGTCTGCCTCTCCAAACCCACTGACTCAAATGTTAATCTCCTTTGGCAACACTTCACAGACACATCCAGGATCAGTACTTTGCATCCTTCAATCCAATCAAGTTGACACTCAGTATTAACCATCACAAGTGTCTTCAAAATTGTCACTCTTTTCTGCTGTGGCCTCCCTCTCCTGGTTTGCAGACTCGTGCTCATCCTGTGGCATGAGGATGGGGAGGTGCTGGCAGGAGAGCTTTCTAGCTCCTGAGTTAAAAGGCAGAGATGGTGTCTCTTTCAAGACTTTGCTGCTGTGTTGAGTTACATTAAAAACAGTCTGTCTTTTTTCTCTGGTTTTCACACTCATAGTAAGAGGCCATCAAGACAGGCTTCCTATATCGGAGGGTGATCCTTACCAACTGTAGCTGGGAGAAGTACAGTAAAAGAATGTTAGATTGTTCTGGAAAAAAGTGGTCCCTCCATTATTTGGATTGGGTTTGTGGCTTTGTCAAGCCCAGCAGTCTGATTCCGTCTGCTTTGTGTCTTCCAGCGTGTATGTCCCTGTGGTTTTGGTTCACTCAGGGTATTCTCATTGTAGCTGTTATTTTTCTGCTGCTGAGGCAGACTTATTCTTTTTAATAAAATACTGTTATTTTGGTGGGGTTTTGGAAAGAGGACCAGGCCACATCCTGACAAGAAATTCATCTTAGGATTTCACAGCCCTAACTCACTTTTTGTTTTGATTAAATTATTTACCCTTTTTGAGGGGTGGGGGCTCAGCTTTGTCGTTTGTAAAATGAAAGATAGTAACTGGGCTGATGGTTACAGACATGGATGCATGTCAGAATCACCTCAGAGAGCTGTTTAAAAACAGATTCTCCCCGGCACGTTGGAGGCAGAGGTGGGCAGATCATGAGGTCAAGAGATCGAGACCATCCTGGCCAACATGGTGAGACTCTGTCTCTGCTAAAAATACAAAAATTAGCTGGGCGTGGTGGCAGGCACCTGTAGTCCCAGCTACTCGGGAGGCTGAGGCAAGAGAATTGCTTGATCCCAGGAGGCGGAGCTTGCAGTGAGCTGAGATCCTGCCACGGCACTCCAGCCTGGTGAGAGAGTGAGACTCCATCTCAAACAACAACAACAACAACAAAAACCCAGATTCTCAGAGTGGGCATTGAAATTAGCTTTTTTTTTTTTTTTCCCTTTTTTGAGACGGAGTCTCACTCTGTCGCCCAGGCTGGAGTGCAGTGGCGCGATCTCGGCTCACTGCAAGCTCTGCCTCCTGGGTTCACACCATTCTCCTGCCTCAGCCTCCCGAGTAACTGGGACTACAGGTGCCCGCCACCACGCTCGGCTAATTTTTTGTATTTTTAGTAGAGACCGGGTTTCACCATGTTAGCCAGGATGGTCTCGATCTCCTGACCTCGTGATCCACTCGCCTCGGCCTCCCAAACTGCTGGGATTACAGGCATAAGCCACCACACCTGGGCAATGAGTGTTTCAAAAGTGCTCTTTTAATCACTGATACAACCAAAGTCTTTGGGACTTTTAGGCCAAGTATATATACTTTAGATACCCAGAATACTTTGATTTGTAATATAACAATCTAGGGAAATTAAGAAGGGGTGAATTACATTTTGGAAGCTGCTGCTTGCTTCCTTTTTCCATTTAGATTTTAGAAGACAAAGAATGTCTAAAGAGAGGCAGATTTAAAGGAAATACAAGTAATTCTGCATGGGTATGTTTATCTACATGGCATTCTCCAGCTCACTAATCCAGAAGAGTTCTAACACCCTCTGTGATCATGGGTTTGTTTTTCTTAAGTATTCCTCCATCAGAGTATCTGAGAACAGATGCTTAGAAAGTGCTGAGACCTTTGTTGGTCTTACCGGATCTCCGAATCCTAGTTTCTTGATATTTTACGTATTCTGGATTCTAACCTGAACTGGCCTTCATGATTAAAGATGCATTTATATACTGTACACTGGCCAGGAAGCTTATCTTTTGAAATTTGCCCAAACTGGGCATGAAGGCCCTTCTTAAAACCCCATTAAATTCATTTCTAAACTTGATGATTGTCAATTGTGTCAGTTGGTAAATTCTGTCTTGTAGAGAGGTATTTTTTAGTAAATAATATGTTTTTAAAACTAAAATTTGCCTTTTAGTAAGTTGGTAATCATTTCATAATTCTTAGTTTTGTGAAGTGTCTATAAATCACAATCTGATCTTTTAAAATGAAAGGCAGTTGAATTTATGTAATGATTCAGGCTTTTCAAAGTTAAAAAGGTAGTTATTTTAAGGAATGGATAGTTTGTGATATTTCTTTTAAACAAAATAAGCCATTGTTCTTATACACATAGCCATGTAAGTAAAATGTTTTCTTATTTTAAATTAGATTCCGTTTTAACTTTTTTTTCAGTTTTGCTTTATATTTTACTTATATTTTTTATGTTTTATATTTATATTTGATTGCTTTCCTTTATTCCTAATTCTTTTAGTTTCTGTTCCATTTTTAAAAGCTGATGACTGTTGTTTGTCAAACCATAGTTGGATTTAAAAATAAACATTTAATGTTAATAAGCTCTCTGGTAGTGGCACTGCAGTGACAGATGGTTGAGAGTTTGTCCCTAAAGCTATGGCACCAGTCTTCTAATGGACTTAGCCTATATTCAGCCTGTGTAACCCTGGCAGGTTTTTCTCTGTTTCAGAATGGGACAACAGAGGAAGTGACTTCAGAGGAAGAGGAAGAAGAGGAGATGGCTGAAGTAGGTATTTTATATAAGAATGACATTTCATAAGTGTTGTCATTTTTGAGTAATTCCATAAATCTCCTTTGTAAGCTATTATTAATGCGGAATAATTGAAAGCACATTGTATTTGGAATGGAATATAATTTCTCAACTCTGGCTTTTCCTCTGATGATACGCCTTTGAGCAAATAGCTTTATCTGAATTCTTTGGATTTGATTTCGTGGAAAACAAAAGTCCTTAACTTTTAGCACCAAAGTTGTATTTATATTTAATACTAATCAGTCCTTAGCCTGCATTTGGTTATTTTTAGGAAGAGGAACTACTACGTTTAAAAAATGTTGTGTTTGCATAAAAGGAGAATTTGAGAACATGTTAGGGACTACTCACCAGAAGTAGTGAAACTGTCTCTTGTTGAAAAATCATCAAGGAATTTTATGTTAGTCTGTTTTATGCTGCTATAACAGAATACCAGAAACTGGGTGATTTATAAGGAACAGATATTTATTTTCTAACAGTTCTGGAGACTGAGAAGTCCAATAGGAAAATACCAACAGTTGGTGTCTAAGGGCATTGTTGCATCCTCAGATGGTAGAAGGCAGAAGGGCAGGAGAGCAAGCTAGTCCAGTGTGTGAAGCCTCATTCATCAGGGCCTTAATCCCATTAAGGAGGAAGGAGCCCTGTTGGCCTGATCTCTTAAAGGTCCTACCTCTTAATATCATCACATTAGAAACACCTGAATTTTGGAGGGAACACATTCAAACGGTAGCAAATTTACTGGAGCAAATTCCAACAACATTGAGCCTAGGCCAGTTGTCAGTCCTGGGTATAATTTTAGATGTTTCCAGGCTCTGAAGCTTTGTATTTAAATTCACACTTAGGAAAAAAGATCTGTGTCTCTGCATTGACCAAATAGAAGGTATGTGAATGTTATGGTCTTGATTGTTTTAAAAGATATTTTCTCTTTGGGGTCTTATAATTAATTTAGGTTTTCATTTTCTTGGTTTAGAAATCATTAATGTAAAATTTACAGTGCTTCAGAACTAAAGAAGTAGTGTTGTAGGCTTGTTTTCATTTGTTTGCGACAGGGTCTCGCTGTCACCCAGGCTGGAGAGCGGTAGCATGGTCACGGCTCACTGCAACCTTGAACTCCCCGGTTCAAGCAATCCTCCTAAGTAGCTGGTACTACAGGCGGGTGCTCCATGTCCAGCTAATGTGTGTTTGTTTGTTTGTTTGTTTGTTTGTAGAGTTTGAGTCTCGCTCTGTTGCCCAGGCTGGTCTTGAACTTCCTGACCTCTAGTGATCCACCACCTTGGCCTCCCAGAGGCATGCACCGCTATGCCTGGCTGTAGGCTTCTTTTATGAGTCTGGGAGGAAAATACTTCTTAGACTTGTCCAATTAGATGAGAGTTTGTTTTAATGTTTTTATACAGTTTAGCTGAGGTGGAATAAACTGCATGAAAACATTAAACCTTTTCCGTGGGTCAGGCGGCCATTGTACTAAAGATCATGAACACTTTCATTTTTCCCCTCACAAGATAATGAACAAGGGACCGCAACTTTGAGGGAAATATAGAAAGGTAAGAGACTGGACGTTGGAGATGTCAGATGAGGACAGGTGAAAAGCAGATATTCTAGGCTCCTGAAAGAACATGGGAACAGGCCCAGAACAACCTTGGACATGGTGTGTTTGGGTGCATTGGATGCTTTTCTTTTGAGAAGGAAAGTTGATGTGTTGAAGTCATGGAAAGCAAGATTGGCCAGAAAAGGCAGATGGTTAAAAGTCTTGAATTCAAGACAGGCATGTGTTTCTATTTGGTGTGATTATTGATATGAAGACCTTGAGCAGGGAATAGTGTGCTGAGGATATTGCTTTAGAAATATGTGTTGAATTCTGTTTGTGATGTGCTGATTAATACTAAGGTGGGGAAGTTTTGTGGATGCGAACATGACTGAGGTTGAAGGTATAGGAGGAAATACAGGTCAAAAGCATTTGTGAGCATTGTGAGGAAAATAAGTGTAGGATGGAAGGTCAGGGCTGAAAGGTGCACACAGGGAGAATGGAGCTCCATGACATATGGAGTCATGGGCAGAGTTTGAGTGGAGGTATTCAGTAACCTGCTCTAGAAATCAGTGAATTAGCCGGCTTGGGAAAAAAAAAAGAATCAAAATGAGTATAAACTACTTTTTTAGAGTACTTGGCATTTGAAGTGGAAAAATAATTTAATTGAAAAAAGGATGTTTAAAAATCTGCATATATTTGTATATGTGTAAGAACAGATAGTATGGGAGGGAGGGAGCAGAATGATGTGAATAAAGATGTTGTTCTGGGGGGTATTATTCAAATTCTTTTAAAATTATTATTATTTTTTGAGATAGGGTCTCTGTTACCCAGGCTGGAGTGCAGTGGCATGATCATAGCTTGCTGCAGCCTCAAACACCTGGGCCTACACGAGCCTTCTATTTCAACCTCCTGAGCACCTGAAATCAAATTCTTTTCCTGACTCATTTTTTAGTTACTAACGTCAATAGATGCTTACCATATAAAACCATAAACTGAAATTAGGGAAAGCACCAAATGTCTCCAGAGATAACAACTAAAATTAATTGAAACGAACATTTCAATATAAGTTCTTCTGGTCTTTTTCTGTGCGTATTTCAGCATAATTGAAATTCTTTCTGTTCCTTTGTGTTTCCATTTTTCATTTCAAAGTTTTTCGATACAGGAGAAATTATACTGTGTTGGTATTTCAGTGGCCTCTTAATAGTTCATGGAATTGAGTTAACTGTTTTGCTATTTTTGCACATACAGATTTTGTGTGTATTTTTGTGGCTGCAAGTTTGAAATAGGTATCCTTATGCCTAAATTTGTGTTTACATCTTAGACTAGTTTCTTGGAATACAATTCTAGAAGTCGAGTTTCTGGAACAAACTATGAACAGTTAAGGTTCTTTTTTTTTTTTTAATTTTTTTTTTTTTTTTGAGACGGAGTCTCGCTCTGTCGCCCAGGCTGGAGTGCAGTGGCGCAATCTCGGCTCACTGCAAGCTCCGCCTCCCAGGTTCACGCCATTCTCCTACCTCAGCCTCCCGAGTAGCTGGGACTACAGGCACCCGCCACTGCGCCCGGCTAATTTTTTTTCTATTTTTTAGTAGAGACGGGGTTTCACCATGGTCTCGATCTCCTGACCTTGTGATCCGCCCGCCTCGGCCTCCCAAAGTGCTGGGATTACAGGCGTGAGCCACCGCGCCCAGCCAGAACAGTTAAGGTTCTTGACACCTGCTGCTAAACTGTCTCAAAGGTTCCTCTTAAGAGGAGATTTAAAAGATGGCTTGGCCGGGCATGGTGGCTGATGCCAGTAATCCCAGCACTTTGGGAGACCAGGTGGGCGGATCACTTAAGGTCAGAACTTTGAGATCAGCCTGGCCAGCATGGTGAAACCCTGGCTCTACTAAAGAGATAAACAAATTAGCCGAGCGTGGTGGTGTAGGTCTGAAATCCCAGCTGTTCGGGAGACTGAGACATGAGAATCACTTGAACCTGGGAGGCAGAGTTTGCAGTGAGCAGAGATCGCCCCACTATACTCCCGCCTCGGTGACAGAGTGAGACATTATTTAAAAAAAAAAAAGAAGTAAATAAAGAAATGATGGCTTATTTAGTAATAGTTATGACTTTGTAAAGCTTTTAAATCTGCTTTACACAGAGTCTAGCTTTTAAATAACATATAGTGTACAAAAGGTGGGAGCCTCTTGAATGGAATGTGTGGGCTTTTTCTCTCTCCCCATAGGGTAGATATATTCTGTTTCTTGTCCCCCATTGAATCAAGAATAATTTAACTTTTGGCATAAGAAAGTGCTGAAGAAAAATAGGTTGAATAAGCTAACATTTTTCTTCTTTTTGCAGGATCTAGAAGACTGAGATCACTGTGAGATGAAAGAAGAGCCTATTAGTGGGAAAAAGTTGGAGGATGAAGGAATTGAAAAAGAAAATTTGGCAATATTAGAGAAAATTAGGAAGACTGAAAGGCAAGACCATTTGAATGTGTAAGTGTTTATAAATAGCTAGAGCCTGGACTTTTTGGTTAAGTAATTATAGTTGATACCTGGCAATTCATGAACCTGCCGAATTCAGCTGCTCTCCTCCTCCATTCCTGCCTTAGTGGTAGTTTCAGTCATCTGTTTATTGGTTTGGAGACAGGGTCTTGCTCTGTCGCCTGGGCTAGAGTGCGGTGGCACAATCATAGTTCACTGTAGCCTTGATCTCTCAGGCTCCAGCGATCCTCCTGCCTCAGCCTCCCAAGTGTCTTGGACTATATGCATGTGCCACCACACCAGGCTACTTTTTTCGATTTTTAGTAGAGATGAGGTCTCACTGTGTGGACCATGCTGCTCTGGAACACCTGAGTTCAAGTGATCCTCCTACCTCGGCCTGCCAAAGTGCTGGGATTACAGGCATGAGCCACCGTGCCTAGCCACGGTCATACGTTTTCTTGCCCAAGGTTATCTTTCTTATCTATGAATAGCTACTTTTTACCCTGTTCATCTGCTCTTCACATCCTGGAACCACCTGCTGGTCCCTGTGTTTGCCCCTTTCCGGCCTGTTTATGCTGTTTTCTCTGCTTACCTTCCTTCTGTGGCATCTGTATACTGACATTCATTCTCTCCTACAAAACAACTCAAATTATTTCTCCTTCATGAAACTGACTTTGGTCCATCCTGCTCTGACCAAACCAAAAGTTATTCTTCTCTTTTCACTTAACATCTCTTTTATGTGAAGCGGCAGGATATGAAAGGAACCTTGAGTTTGGTGACAAACACACCTTTTTTGGTTTCACTTTGCTCAACTGTAAAATATGGATAGACAGTACATACCTTTTGGATGACTGCTATGAAAAATAGATGAGAATGATGTGTGTATATACATGAAGCGCTCAGACACAGTAGGGAAACCTCAGATGATTATCTGAACACTTACTACTTCCTGTCTTCTGTTAGAGGTATTTACCAACTCCACGAAAGCTGAGAACCAGTTACTTTGTCTTGGGCACAGGTTCTCCAAAACAGGGAATTAATCGGTAGGCAAGTAGATGCCAAGTGTTGAAACCAGATAAATAACTCTCCCTACTTCAGTCTTAGTTATATATTAATTTAATTAATAATTCCTCATAGAGGAAAGACATTTAGTCATTTTCTCATATCTTGATTATTTAGAAGACTAACTTTGTAGCATTTGAATTAATGTTACTGTACTTTCCGTATCTTGTGATCGATTCCAGTTTGAGTTATCTTCAAAACAAGTATAAATTATTGAACACTTTCGCATGACCGATACTATGCTAAGTACTTTATATATCTTCTGATTTAGTCTTCATAGCCACTGTGTGAAATAGGTGCTCTTCATATTTTAGAGAGAGGAGAAAGTTCTCATATTTTATAGATAGGAAATGAGCTCATGGTTACATAGCTAGGAAGTAATACCTTTGTAAAGTTGATTTATTTTCTTTTTCAGAGTATAGTGCAGCCTTTAAAACCTTTAGTTTCACATGACCAAAAAGTAGTTCCATTTCTATTTAGTCTTAGATAAGATATCAATATGTTTTCCTCTTTAGAGAAGTCCCCGCACTGAAAAACTGAGACCAGTTGCATGTAGGCACACATGGTTCTCAGAGTCTCCATGTGTGAACTAGACCGTCTGTGTAATATTCTTGCTTGTAGCCTTATGGATGGAAGTCTGTGTTAGAATGTGTCCCTTGAGTGTCTTCTAGTGTTTTCAAAAATTGCTGGGGTTTGGAATAGACTTATACTGAATTCTCTGCTATCGTGGATTCCCTGGTGGTCGGAACATGTTGGCTAGAGTTTTTCAGATGATAAGAAATAGGAAATGAACAGACTCGTGTCTAGCTTTATATTCTCTTGAAACTTCATAATGCTTCATTTAATTGGACTTTTTTTTTTACTTCTTAAAAGTTGAGTGATGATCCATGTTTATTGCAATCTTTTTCTTTTTTTTTCTTTTAAGACGGAGTCTCGCTCTGTGGCCCAGGCCAGAGTGCAGTGGTGCCATCTCAGCTCATTTCTGCCTCTACCTCCCAGTTTCAAGAGATTCTCCTGCGTCAGCCTCCAGAGTAGCTGGGACTACAGGCACGTGCAACCACGCCCAGCTAACCTTTGTATTTTTTTGGTATAGATGGGGTTTCATCTTGTCGGCCAGACTGATTTCAAACTCCTGACCTCAAGTGATCCAGCCTCCTCGGCCTCCCAAAGTGCTGGGATTACTGGTGTGAGCCACCACGCCCGGCTACTGTAATCTTTTAGATGAGGTTGAAATACCTTAAATCTTTAGATTAGTTGGCTCAGTAGACCCTGGTAAACAGTGGCTTTTGTGTTTCAGGCTGCAGCGTCTGGGTCAGTGCAAGCTTCAGATAGACGTATGAAAGAGCTCAGGGACATTTACAGATCACAGAGTTACACGACAGGGAAGGATCTCTAAATCCCTGCTCTTCTTCTTCTTCTTTTGCTCTTTTCTGTTGTCAGATTATAAATGTCATTTCTTAAAAGTGGACCAAAATGGAAATGTTTACTAGCTTTATTTTGTGAAATTCAAAGACAATCAAGTTCCAAAAGATGTAAGGGGTAAGATAGGATGAGTTTACTTGTCTTTTTGGATTTAAAGAAACGTTTTTATAGCTCCATCAGAATTGTTTTTGTCATTTTCCTGATAGAGTGAACTCTTACATGATTTTTATCTTCTAGCAAAAAGCTCAAGCTTCAGCAATATTGCTTGGAAAGTAAATAAGAGTAATACATTTCATTATACAGAGAATGATTGCCAAGGTGATTTTTATGACTTTTCCCCCAGTTTTGAAAGCATCAGAATCAACTCTTATTGTAGAGATAGTTATGTTATTACTTTTAAAATATATAGGTGGAGTACACCTGTAGTCCCAGCTCCTAGGGGTGCTGGGAGGCTGAGGCAGGAAGATCGTTTGAGCTTGGAGAGGTCAAGGCTGCAATGCGCTGTGATTCCACCATTATATTCCAGCCTGGGTGACAGAGTGAGACACTGTCAGAACACATAGTTCTGTCCATGACAGATTGTTCTCCTTGAACCCCTTGGCTGATAGTACAAGTTTAGGAAAGCATATTAAACTTCTTTTGAATTCTTGAGAAAATTGTATACATGTGACTGTTTTCCTTTAGAATGACTGCAAACTCTGAACCCCCTTATTAGATCAGATTTAGGCTATTATGATCTCTTTTGGACATTTATTGTAAAGGAACTGGAAGCTATAGTGACCTCTATTTTTCCTGGAAAATTAGAGCAGCTTAAGATCTTCTCCTTCTGGAACTTACCCTAGGTGCTCTATTTTAGCTTTCAGATTTGTTAATTTTTCAGTTAGTTGAAAAAAAATTGTCTTTTTGTTTGAACTGTTTTTTGCTTTGGGATTCTTAGGGTTGACCCTGATAGTGCTTTGCACAGTGATCTTCAGATCTTAAAAGAAAAAGAAGGCGTGGGAGATATTTTGCTGAACTTACCTTTTAAGGTAAGAAAATTGTTACAGGACTCTATTTTTCGAATGGGGGTGTATATTTGTACAAGTGTTTTGGAAAACAATTTGGTAAAGTGGAAGATACTCATACACTATGGTTCAGGAATTTTGTGGATATATACTCCACAAGAAAGGAGTATGTAGGCACCTGGAGACGGGAATGTTCAGAGCAGCATCCTTTATAATAGCCCCAAACAGAAAATATCCCAAGTGTTCATTCCAAGAAAATGAAGAACTGCGGTTTTCATAAAATGGCTTACAGCTGAGTGGGACCAGCTGGGCGAACCTTGAACACTATGTTAAGCGAAAGAGACCAGACCCCAAAAACCTATTTTGTATAATTTTCTCTATATAGAGCTCAAAAATAGCAAAACTAAGGTTAGTTAGGACATTCATTCGTAGTGGAGGCAGTGTCACCTGCAGTGGAGTGAAAATTGCTCCTTAGAGTAAAAGAAAACATTACCTATTATAATGGTCTGCTCCCCTCCAAAGGATCATATAACATAAACCAACATACAATATGTCTGTGATTTTGAAATTCCACCACAGGGGCATGGGGTAGAATTAGGAAGAAAACTTCTAAAAAGGCTTCTTAGGGGAACTAAAATGAAAAGAAAACTGAGAAACGCTTATTTCTGGATTCATACATGGGCAGTAAAACTATCAAGAACAAAGAGGTGATTCCATAGAGGTTAGGGTAAGGAGTCCATCCAGGCGAGAGGTAAGGAGGTGTGACCTGAAAGGGACATCTGTGGGCATCTTGGATACTGGTTGGAATATGTTTCTGGACCAGGTTGGTGGTTACATGGACAAATAATTTACGATAACATGTTAAGGTATACCTTAAGGTATATTTTATGTACTTTTCTGAATGTATGTGTTATATTTAAGATACTAAAAATAAAGGATGCAAAGAAATAATAGTGGAATCTAGAAGAAATGTTAATGATCTAATATGGAATCTAGATAGGATGTAATGGTTTAAAATCTATGGCTATATGAGGTATTTTGATGAAAAAAACAGACATAAAACAATACTTTGCTGTACTTACTCTAAGGATGGTAGTAGTTTTCCAAAAGCTTCCAACTTAGCTTTCTGTGTATATTTTTGCTTGGGGATATATCTTGTGATTGAACTTTCTTGAAATAACCCTAATGTCAGTATTTTCTCTCACTTTTGTTATCATAGAAACTGTTGTGGTTGTCAACTGGGTTGTCTTCCTAAAGTATGAATCCGGTATATATTGACTGAAGTTGCTAATGGTTACTTCTTTACGGATTCATATGGGGGAGTGAATGAAGCACACAGGCCTAAAACAAAAAACAAAACACAAAAACACCAGGAAGGTTTCTTTCTTTTTTAAAGCATTAAATCATGCGTCCACATGCCCAACACCAAACTTAAGAAATAGAACCGGCCGGGCGCGGTGGCTCAAGCCTGTAATTCCAGCACTTTGGGAGGCCGAGATGGGTGGATCACGAGGTCAGGAGATCGAGACCATCCTGGCTAACACGGTGAAACCCCGTCTCTACTAAAAAATACAAAAAACTAGCCGGGCGAGGTGGCGGGCGCCTGTAGTCCCAGCTACTCGGGAGGCTGAGGCAGGAGAATGGCGTGAACCCGGGAGGCGGAGCTTGCAGTGAGCCGAGATCCGGTCACTGCACTCCAGCCCCCGGGAGTGGCGGAGCTTGCAGTGAGCCGAGATCCCGGCCGGGCCGCACTCCAGCCTGGGCGACAGAGCAAGACTCCGTCTCAAAAAAAAAAAAAAAAAGAAATAGAAACCTTGGCTGTGCGTGGTGGCTCACGCCTGTAATCCCAGCACTTTGGGAGGCCGAGGTGGGTGGATCACTTGAGGTCAGGAGTTCGAGACCAGCCTGCTGAAGATGCAAACCCATCTCCATCAAAAATACAAAAAATTAGCCAGATGTGGTGGCGCGTAACTGTAATCCCAGCTACTTGGGAGGCTGGGGCAGGAGAATCGCTTGAACTCGGGAGGCAGAGGTTGCAGTGAGTCGAGATTGCACCACTGCCCTCCAGCCTGGGTGACAAAGGTAAACTCCATCTAAAAAGAAAGAAAAGAAAAAGCTAAGCATGGGCTTAATTTCTCTGAGGTTTAAAGCTGCAGAGTTACTCTTCATGAAGTAGGTGGATCCAGCTGGGCAGTGAAATGAGTGGGGTCGGGTCAGCTGGGTGGGAAGCAATGGTACCATTTTAAGTGGGGAGAGGGGGGCCATACCAGGTATTCAGGAAAGAGGAATGATCTAGAGGAGATGTTGGAGCGGTGGAGCAGAGAGTAGGATCTGCAGCAAGGTTTGTAGAAACAGCCGCCATCTTGCACCAAACAGCCCCCAAGTGGCTGCGACAGATCTTTTTTTTTCTGCAAGTCAACTATGATGCCTGGATATTCATCTGTCTATGTAACTGGTTGGAGAAAACAGGGGAGTAACAGTAAAGAAACTGTCTTAGAATAAATCTGGGTGGCAGCAGAAGAGAATATGAGACACATTGTCTCACAGAGCTTGAAGAGTGTGATGATAATTTGAGGCAAATGCTGTTTTAGAGTGAAGTGAGGAGAACCTACATTGGTTTGGTAGTCATGGGAATGGCAGAGGAATGAAATGTGAAAGCCCATTACGTGTAAGGCAATCAAAATGGCTTGGTCTTTGTAGTCCACTATTAAGTGAGGAGGAGGAATTACGCTGGCTGACTTAGGAAGAAGTAAAAAATGTGAAATATCAACAAAACACAAAGCTTGTGATTTTAGTCAGGTAAAACTTAAGCACTGTGTGGTGGATTCTAGATAGATTATTGAGCAGTTTGTTCCACATGTATTTTAGAGATCCTACATTCTAGCTATGACTCTATTTCTGTATTTCTCTTCACATAGCCAAACATTTTTCAAAACTGGACAGCTTTATTGTGATACAGTTTATATGTGGTAAGCCACACTCTGCAAGGCACAGTTCAGTGGGTTTTTGTGTGTATTCAGAGTTATGCAACCATTACCACTGCCTAATTTCAGAACATTTTCATCTCCAAAAGAAACCTCCGTATCACCAGTAGTCATGTACCTGTCTCCCATCCTTCACATCCTGGCAACCTGTGATCTAATTTCTATCTCTGTAGATTTGCCTGTCCTGGACATTTGGCTATAAATAGAATCATACAAAAGGTGGCATTTTGTGACTGACTTTTCTTTACAGTGATTATAAATCAAAATGCCTGGAAGAGGCCCAGCTTAGGATAGTGTTTGCTGTACAACTTTGACAACTGAACTTTTTATAGTTGAAAATATGACTGTGTCTGCATATGTGGCATATTATCTTAGAAGACTCCCACGGATTATTAAGAATTTTTTCTCCTAGTGTTCTTGAACTGTCTCAATATTCAGCAGGAACCCTTTGGAGATAAAGAGCAGTAAGAATGTGGAATACATATTGACAAAATGAAGGTAATTTAATATGTAGCAGAGTCGACCACTTTCCGGTGTCGCTGCTGCTGACACTGTGTGTTAAGAAAAGTTTACTGACCTTACTTTTGGTGGAGGTGCTAGAACTACTTCTTTCTTGTGTTTAGATTTCAACAAACCTTTGCATAGGTATTATGTGGTTGTACAGATGTATTCTCTTTGTTTGACTGTGAAATGCAAAACTTCCTTTCTTCCCACTTTCTGAGACTCTGCAACCTTAAAGGAAGAGTGGGGTACTTTAAAGGAAAAGTGGTGGTAGCTGGGTAATGGGTAACAATGTCTACTGTATACTTCCTTTCCCAAAACAAGTCCTCATTCAACAGCATATCCAAATGTGAAGATCAAGTGTGTGTGGTGTTAACTCAATAGCCAATATAACTAGACTTTGAGTGGCTATGGCTGTAAATCAGTGAGGGCCTGATGTTCTAATTCTGTTAAATCAGTGAGTACATTCTATACAATACTGTCTTAGTCCAGAGGCAGACGAAGAAGTGAGATAGATTTCAAGTGTCTGTGAAATAAACAACAAAGAATAAACATCTTTGATCCCACAGATCTCAATCCAGCTTCAATGCCTTGTTTGATCTTCGCATCTTCCTCCACAAACCACACGGAGTCCTGCAGGCCTCGTAAGCGCGGTTACACACTCTCGACTCCAAGTATTATGAAGAGACCCTTCCCCTACCCACAATGGAAACTGTCCACGCCCTGTCCAAACCCCTGAGACGGTCATTGCAAAAATAGTTTGCCTAGTCACCTAAGTGATGTTTTTGTTAGTTGCAATGGAAGATGTAGGCTGGAGGCTGGGTAAGGTTTTTGAGGGGAAATACAGTATTTGGAAGAGTGGGAAGTAGAAGGAATGTCTGGGCAAGGGAAATGTGGGCAGAGCCTCAGAGGACAGAACAGGTTGTGGTGGACTTGTAACCACATAGACCTAATCAGTGGTCTTAGCTTTTGTGTTTTCAAAATTACCACAGTTTGTGTTCTAAAACTGTCATTGCCTTGATTTTATTTTAGACATGCTATCTGTGTATTTTGAAATATAAGATAACGTTAAAGGAGAAATGAAATTATTTTGTTTGAGAAAGAGTTAAAAGGTTAAAACATCTTTATCTAAAATTTTCTACTGGGAGATTTGGTACTTCTCATAGTTATGTTTGGTTCAGAGAATAGTCTTCAGACCTAGAAAGGACTTGAGCAAGAGTCCCAGAGAGGAGCTACATGGTCTGAACCATTTGATTCTCACAAAAGAATGGAGAAAACAATTCCAACCATGAAGCAATGCAGATGTTCATTGAATAGGGTGAGGCTGTGGTGCCATTGTCAGAGGAAAACTTTGCCATCACAGGATGGGAGAGAAAGTTGCAGTTGTTGTAAAGAATACCAAATGCCATTTAAGGAAACGGGTTCTTCTGTTTTCTATGTTTGGAAATATTTATGGCTAAGTTCTTCATTTTGACACACACCATAAATATTTCAAAGTATTCTGTTCTAAGAGCCATTTCAAACAATTGACTAGAATTTCAAAGCAAGTGCATGACAGTTGAAACATTAGAATTTTTAAATTGCCCTTAATCCTATATCCCTAACAAGTATGCTCACGCTTGCATGTTCTCTTCTCATCTTTACTGTGTGCATGCTTTCTTAGTAATGGCACGTAGAAACTGTTCAAGCAGGAATAATTATCGTGATAATTTTTTCTGTTTTTCTTTCAAGGTATGTATTGGGTGGAGGAGCATTATGTGGCATGGAACTTCCTCACAAAACAGGTGATTATTTTCTTATAATATTCAATTTTCACCCTCAATAGAGTGTTTCGATCATGGGAAGTTAGGTTTTTAAGTAGAAGGTTCTCTTAAAGACATTTTGGTGTTTTTATTTTTATTTTTTATTTTCTTAGCTCCTACTTCCAAGAATGAAAAGGTCAACCAGTAAAATAAGATTGTACTTGTGCTGAATCTATGCTAGGATCGCATTGAATCCTTATTTAAAGTTCTAATTTGCTCACGTTAAAATAGAACGTCAGTTTGATGTTTTTTGTGAGATTTTGGAAATGGTCCAAGTTTACTTTTTCCCGTTGCCTCCAGACTTTTTAACACTGATCTGCTGCTGTTGAGGTACATGCCATCTTGTTAGGCCTTCTCAAGTGGAATCAGGAATGCTGTGTTCCAGACGCTTTGTTCTTCCTGTAGGGCTGAAGCAGTGCCTACTCAATAGAACTGGGTCATCGTGCAAAGAAATGCCACTTGACTCAAAGGCAAAGCCAGAGTGCAGCTTGGAGCAAAGAAGGTACTTTTATTAAGAATTTTAAAGAAACCATAAGAGATATTTTATATTTGTGAGCCTTCTTCCTGTCTTGACTTAATTCTTTGAGAGAATTCATTTCATTTCATTTAGCTTGTTTTCTTTCTTGTTATAAAGATGATCTATATAGAAAATATATAGAAGAAGAGCAGAAAAATTAAAGATACTAACTGATAATCACTTAATGATTTAGTATCTGCTTGTTTAGTCTTTGTTATATTTACTGTAGGCAAACATGGCTACAGTTGTAAATTTATTATCGCTTTGTATACCCTAGTAAGTTAAAAGTTATATGTACTCTGAAGTTTTCTTTGCAAATTGAGTCTATGTTATAGAATTAATTCTGATGAACTTTTCTCTGTGCTAGGTACTAGTCTTTTTTAATTATTTCTTTATTCATTTATTGATTTATTTTTCCTTTTTTTCCCCTCTGCGCCTATACTTACCAAGTCCTTTTATTTGTTACTTTTTATTAACTCTTTCGATCCTCTTAATAACTTAAAAAGAGGGTATTATTAATATCTGCATCTTGTAGATGAGGCAATCGAAGGTAGGTAACTTGTCCAGGTCACAGGTGGCAGAACAAGGATTAAACCAGACAGTCCAGCCTAAGGCCCAACCAAGAGGAGATGAGAGCAAGCCATGGGGCAGAAGGAGGTTGGTGAGGCTGGTTTCCTGTTTAGTTAACACACACATGAAACGCAGGCTGTAACCTTTAATTCTAGACATTCCTAAGAAAGCCTTCCAAAGCCATAGCTTTTTTACCATGACCATGACTTTTAGCAAGAATTTGTGGTTTAAAGACAACATGGTGCCCTGAGTAGTTTCTGTTCACTTCTACGGAGGGACTGGTAATTGAGCTAAATAGTGAAATCCTGGAGCACACAGCCTTTAGGGGAGCTTCTGACCTATTTCTATGGTCAGGAAAGACACCTGTCTTTCCCTGCTGCCCACAGCCTCCAGTTATTCACCTTTCAGAGTTTAATCTTCTGTGATCAAGTATCTAGATGAGAGATCCGTTTTGTTTTTTCCAGGTAGGAGGAAGGAGTCACCACCTATACTAAGCAGTCTAGTCTTCTGTGTATAAAATGAGCAAGGTTGGGCAGCCAAACTTGAGAATCTCAGGTAATCCTGACATTCTCCAAGAGAATCCAACGTGGATGTCAGGATTAGGCATGGTGTAAAGGGCTATGCAGAGTTGGGGTTCACAGCTCTCATCAGAAGTAGACACAGATACATTTGTAGGAAAGCATCTCTAATCTCCGAAGCTTAAAAAGCAGGTGAACACGATCCAGTGGAATCATAGTATCTTAAGTAGTCAACCTCCACATATTTCAGAATTGGTTGTAAATAACGAATAATATGTTTCCCAAAGACTGCAGGTTTTGGAATTATCAGATGCAGAACACAGACTTCCTTCGGCTAGAATTGCGAAAATAGTTACATGTGAAATACATCTAATATATATAAAAAGATGGACTCATAAAACTGAGCGAGCAGAGACTACTAGAAAGATGAGGAACACCTGAAAGGAAATGGATGAAATAGAACTTACAGAAATAAAATATATAGCTGGGTATGGTGGCTCACACCCTGCAATCCCAGCACTTTTTGAGAGGCTGAGGAAGGAGGATGGTATGAGCCCAGGAGTTGAGACAAGTTTGCAACACGGTGAGAACCCATTTCACAAACAATACCTACTCACTACTCACTAAAAAAAGAAAGCTGGGTATGTGGTGGCCTGCCTATAGTCCCAGCTACTCAGGAGGCTGAGGTGGGAGGATCTCTTGAGCCCAGGAGGCTGAGGCTGTAGGTTAGGGGTGACAGTAGTCTAGCTTGTGGATAGAGGGAAAGAGACTTCTGTTTCAGAAGAAAATGAAATACAGAAATACAAAATACCAGTAAACTAGAAACTTAGTGACGGACTAGACACCGCAGCTTGCTGACTAACTGCCAGACAACCATCCCCGCAAGCAAGTCCGATGCCGGGCACAGAAAGACATGAGGACAAATGATAGGACAGAAGTTGGTGTGGTTGTTGGGGAGAGGGAGATCAGAATGAGGTTCAAAATATGTCTTAATGGAATCGAGATGAAACATTAAAACTACATTGGAAAGTGCGAGAGTAAAATAGAAATTCTAAAGGTGACAGAAGGAAGTCCACATAAATCAATCACAACAAATGTAAATGGACTAAAGTTACCAGTTAGACAGATGGAAGTAATAAAACAATATCCAGTTGTTTTAATCCATCATATTTAAAATATGAGGATGTGAAAAGATTGAAAGCTTTTATAAAGGAGAGAGAGTGATAAAGATATGCCAGTACACATTAGCCAAAAACGAGACGGAGCTTCAGTTTCAAACAAAATCGGATTTTGAAACAGAAAGCATTAGTAACAACTTGATGCTAAATGACTGTTAATTAGGAAGATGTAGCAATTTTCATAGTTTATGTACCTATCAAAATAGCCTCAAACTACAGAGAAAACTGATAGAACCACAGAGAGAAATTGGACAAGTCTGCTATGGTATTTGAGTTTCCCCAAATATACCCTGCTTCCCATAAGTAAGCTGGAGATGAGAGAGATCTGTTTTGTTTTTTCCAGGGTAGGAGGAAGGAGTCACCACCTACCAAGCAGTCTAGTTCTCTGTGTATAAATGACTAAGGTTGTGGAGGCAAATTTGAGAACCTGTGTAATCCTGACATTCTCCAAGAGAATCCAACGATGTCAGGATTAGGCATGGTGGCAAAGGGCCATGTTAGTTGTGTCCACAGCTCACTGTAGCTTGGCAGACAGATATATTTGTAGGAAAGCATCTCTAACTTCCCAAAGCTTAAAAGCAGACAAACTACCAATTCAGTGAAATCATAGCATTCAAGTAGTCAACCCAACATATTTCAGAATTGTCAGAAACAACGAATAATATGTTTCCGAAAGACTGCAGGTTTTGGAATTATCAGATGCAGAACACAGACTTCAAATATTAGAATTGTGAGAAAATAGTTAGATGTGAAATACATCTAATATATAAAAAAAGATGGACTCATGAAACGGAACGAGCACTGAGACCACCAGGAGTGATGAGGAAGATCTGAAAGGAAATGACAAATAGAACTTACAGAAATAAAATATATAGCTGGGTATGGTGGCTCACAACTATAATCCCAGCACTTTTGGAGAGGCTGAGGAAGGAGGATGGCAGCAGCCCAGGAGTTGGAGACAAGCCCTCTGGCAACATGATGAGAACTCATTTCTACAACATTACCTGCCACCACCAAAAAAAAAGAATAATAATTATTAGCTGGGTATGTGGTACCCGCCTATCATCCCAGCTACTGAAGAGGCTGAGGTGGGAGGATCCCTTGAGCCCAGGAGGCCGAGGCTGCAGGTTCGTGCCACTGCAGTCCAGCCTGGGTGACAGAGGGAGACTCTTGTCTCAGAAGAAATGAAATAAGGGAATACAAAATGTAATTGTTGAAATCAGAAACTCAGTGGATGGATTAGACACCAGAAGAAAGGAGTATTTGGTTAGATGATTATCTCCAAAAAGTAAACCCGTAAAGTGTTACACAGAGAGACATGAGGATAAACATAAGGCAGAAGTTGGTGGGGTTGGTGGGGAGAGGGAGATCAGAATGAGGTCTAAAATAAGGTCTTAGTATAATCCCAGTAGGAGATATTAAAATTACACTGGAAAGTGAGAGAAATGGAAGTTTAAAGGTGACAGGTTTGAAGTCCACAGAAACGGGTCACAAGGGATGTAAATGGACTAAAGTTACCAGTTAGACCGATGGATGAAATAAAAACAACATTCAGTTGTTTTAATCCATCATATTTAAAATATGAGGAAGTGAAAAGATTGAAAGTTTTTATAAAGGAGAGAGAGTGATAAAGATATGTCTGTACACATTAACCAAACAGAAGAGATGGAGCATCAGTTTCAAACAAAATAGGATTTTGAAACAGAAAGCATTAGTAACGACTTGATGCTAAATGGCTGTTAATTAGGAAGATGTAGCAATTTTCATAGTTTATGTACCTATCAAGATAGTCTCAAAATACAGAGGAAAAACTGATAAACCCACAGGAGAAATTGACAAGTCTGCCATGGTATTTGGATTTCAAATATACCCTGCTTCCCATAAGTATGTTACACAGAATGCCCATATATAGATTTGAATAACCTGTGAACGGACGTGGTATAATGGACAAATACAGACCTCTGTACCCACAGTTAGATATTCTATATTCTTCGAGCATCTGTGGACTGTGGGAGAAACTCTTATTATATATTAATCCGTATAGCAAGTCAGAAGATTTAAAAACATTTGGTGCCATCCTCACCATATAATTTATAATTTAAATATGAAGCAGTTAAGGTTAGAAGTCAATAATGAAGAGATTAACCAAAAGCTACATGAATTTGGAAATTAAACACCCTTGTAATTCATAGCTTAAAAACTCCAATGAAATTTTAGATGCTTAGAAATGAACCATAGTTAAAATACGAAACTTCTATCTACTCTGCTCTCTCACCCTCTCCCTCCCTCTTCCTATCTGGAACATTCAGGAGGCTAATCTTTTTCAGTGAAGAACACCTCAAATACTAAAGAGTAGAAAAAGAACAGAAGTCATTATTCTCTGATCTTAGTTAAATCTATAAGTTAATACAACAAAACCAGAAACAAATGCTGATTGTGGAATTTACAATTCATGCAAACAGCCCTTAGGTCACACAGGGATTTGAAATTAAAACTGCAGAATATCGAGAGAATAGTAATAATGCAATCAAGCATGTATTAGTGACTAGGGGAGAGCTCAGAGGAATGTTCATTGCCTTAAAATCCTTATGTCATTAAGAAAAGAATGAAAATGAATTAAGCCTCTAACTCATTCTTAGAAAGGACAATCAAAAACCCTGAAGGAAAGCAGAATGGGGAAATGATTAAAGATACACAAGGAGAAATCAGTGAGTTTAGA